TTCTTTTTTTGGTACTGGGAATTGAGTGACATGTTCTTGATGTGACACTATTGAGAAATGTGCAGAGCAGCTTAGCAAAGTTTATATTTTTGTGAGTGTACATAACTCATTTGTTTGTGGAACCCTCCTGGTAAGAGTTTGGATGTGTAGAAGGCCCAGAAAGGTATTGGAGTTGATTGCACATGGGATACTTGGAGCAGTTAAGTAAACACTACATCAAACCAAGTTGTCCATATCTTGATTTAGAGGGAAATGATTCAGAACATACTTGCTCTGATTCTACAAATGCATGATATGAAACTTTATACCTATTTAAGTGAACAAGGGTTATAAGGAAGACCAGATTCCTTTGGCAATGGGACTACAGGTCATTTCTATGGTCAAGCCCTAAGCCATGACCCGGGGAAGTTATCTTTCTTTGATCTTAGTGCTGGTCAGCATGAGTTCTCACCTGTACAGACCCTTGTGTGCTCACTTGCACCCTAGACCAGCACTGGCCACTGTTGGAGTTTTCATGCTCCTGCTCTGGGTTGATGGAGACCGAGTTGCCACATGGTGTGCTGATGATCTGCACAGAGCTCTGCCAAGAGAGTACCTGACATTTGAGCCACAAGTTATCATTCACTCCTCCTGGCCATCCCCACACAGCCCCCTCATAGAAAAATCTCTCCACGTTAGGCGGCATAGGGCGGTATATGTATAATCTTGAGACAGAGAGGTGCGAGAGGACAGCTTGAATCAGTTGATTAACCTCCCATCAGATAAACTGATCCCCAATAATCCCGTAACTATAGACCTTCGATGCCTGTCATACTTCCAACCATGAAGTAGGAAATAGGAAGTGGACAGGTCAAAGTTGGGACACTTTAAATCTCCCCCTGTTTGGGTCAACCCCTGCACATCCCCCCAAATCCATTGGTGAATGACTGCCCTTAAGAGGCTGGCATTGGCATGGGGTTATCTCTCTTACTTGTCGGCTCCTCCTGAACATTAGCTTGAAACATCCACAGTGAGGTGGGAACCAAGATCTGAAAAGGCTCTGGTTCCTGTGCCTTTTGCGGCTAGAACTTTGGAAACCAGGAAAACAGCAAAAGCTCATCTTCTACTCTTGAATGTCTCCCTCCAAGTGATCAGGGCAGGAGATAGATTCAAAAGTGTGGAGGCTTGGTTACCAGAGTTCCAAGCCTTGTTGGGTTCTATCACCGAGGTCATGAGGTCATTTCTTCAAAATTCCATTACAGTTAGGATGAGGAAGGGGATGAATGTTAGGGTGAGGGAACAAGATGGCGTTTGGGTTGAGGTTTGTTGGGATGTAGTGGAGGTTTAACATGAGATTTGCACTGTGTTATGGCTGAGAATGAGAGATGAAGTGTTAGAAATTAGGTTCCAGGTTTTTGAAAAGTATTTCCTTCTTAGTACATCCTTGCAGTAGCTGTAGTTACACACAGTGGGGAGTAGGTGCACATTCACCGTAGAGTTGTTTTGTAATCCCCTTCCCTCTTCCTCTTCTAAATCCCTTTTGCTTGATTTCATTAATGTTATTAAACTCATCTCATGCATAAAACACACAGTGCTCACATTCACTTAGCAGATTAAATTCTTGCACATGGCATATCTTTATTCTCTTTATTTTCCGTTATGTGTAGATAGTACATTTTCTTTACACAGTCACCAGTGGATACACAGATGGCTTCCTTGATTTTGCTCTTAAGACCATGCTGCTATAAACCTTGGCTCTTTCTGTTACTCAGGATTTGGGTAGGGATTAGCATTGTAATTGAGTTTAGGGTTTGGGTTTAGGGAGATAAAGATCTAAGGGGGATGTGGGACATTTTCTTGTTATTGAGAATAAATAAGCAACAGTCCCAATTTATGAGGAGATGTTTATTTGAGCTAATGGTTTTTTAAGGGTTCAGTTTTGTTTGGGGGAATAAGTAAAGGAGGTGTATGGTGCAGAGTCAGCTTTGGGATTGGAATGAGGGCTAGCTTAGGCCCACGTTTAGGGCTACAGTAAGTGCTAAAGGTATTAAATATAGTGTTAGGGGCAGTGGTTAGTGGTTAGGATTAGATTTCAAAAACAGAGTTCGGGTTCAGATTAGGAATTAGGGCAGGTTTTAGTGATTAGTCTTGGGGATCAGTGTGAGTTTCCAGTTGGGAGTTAAGGTTAGGGTTACATTTATGATTAATACTGCAGGATACAGGTCCAGTTGGGATAATATCAGTGTCAGAGCTGGGGTCATATTTAGGGTTCAAGTTAGGGTTAAGGTAAAGTTTAGTGTTTAGGTTTTGACATTGGTTGAGTTTAATCTGTGTTTATAGAAGCAGATTTAGGGATAGGATGAATGGTGGAGGACTATGGTTAGTTTTCATCTCTTTTGTTTTAGAGTGAGGGGTGGGATTAGGAATCAGAGTGGGTGATGTTGTCAGTGTTATTGTAGGGTATTGTCAGTGTTAGGGTAGGGGAGCATGAGTAATAGGTTTGGGGTTACTGCTCATTTATGCTTAGCTCATTGCTTAGTTTTAGTGTTATAGTCAGAGTCTTAGGGTTATAAAGTTAGGGTTAGTGTTATGTTAGAGTTAGGATTATTTTCTAATAGGATGAATCTTTGGGGAGGGTTAGTTCCTGATAATTGTTGGGTTATATATAGGGGTCGGTGTACTGGGAAGATGAGGTTTATGCAGAAAAAGAACAGATGTGAAAAACAACAACAACAAAAAAATGAAACCATAAAAACAAAGAATTTTCCTGGATGTAAAGGATGTAGCATTCAGTTAAGGACATTATCCAACTGGATAGAAGAGCCATTCCAAGCCAAGTACTTTCTAAAAGAGATGAACTTCATATGTACATGAAAATTTAAAAACAGTAAATCAATGTGGAAACATTCCAAAAAGGAGTAAGAATCACAATGCAAATACCATAATTAGAAGTGCTGTAACGGCTGTATTGATATCAGTTGAAACAGAGTTAAAGAGAAAGACTGTGAGCATACGAAGTATTACATTTAGTAAAGAAGATCCACAGATATCAGTGGGTAAGATGTGCCACTTGATTCGAGGAAAAATGTGATATCATGTAGGAGAGCAACTCAATAAATGAAAAGCCTTTTTGGTAGCTAGATATTATTATGGAAAATGTCCTACATCTGTACTCCTGAGATAATATTGAAGCCTGCACAAATATTTTAGGAAAATATTCTTTTTGTCCTGTATGTTTTAAGAGTACTTTTATACTGTATATAAAGGAAGCTCTAGAGGCAGAAATAGTTTACAGAATGAAAAGTACCATAATAATTTAAAGATGAAACGAGCAAAACTCTGAAAATTTAAACCTTTTTCAGAAATACACATTTGCAAAAAAAATGAGGTATGAGCAGCAGTGTGCAGAAAATGGTAGTGGTGAGCTTTTCTGTTGTGTCTTCTAGGACTTGGGCAGTAAGGAAGGTGCTATTGTTAAGTGACTCAGAGAAGCAGATATCAAGGAAAACAGTAAAACATGAGTAAGCACAAGGTTTCCCATAGCAGGAGGAGAGAGCCCCCCACCTGCTAGAGAATCCAACCCTTTCAGTTGGTTCAATTTTATGAGTGGAATGAGGTTTTGGGGAAGTTATTTTCCATTTAGATCAAACCTTGAAAACTGCTAAGATGTAGTCTTAAAAATCTGTGAGAATTTAAAGAATGTGATGGATGCCTGTGCTTTAGAGGACATAATGAAATGGGAACTAATTCACCCCCGTGACCATCTCAGTGATGGCATCAGGAATTTGAGCACATTATCATTGGTATCCAAACCATATAGCATGATTTATTTGTTACACATTGCAGAACCTGCAATCAGGTAGCAGTGAGCCTGTGGAAAACCATCTGAGTTTACCTGATCATGGTTTTCCTTTAGATAAGGTGATGTTTGTTTAAGCCATTCAGATACAGTGATATTATCTATGATTGCAACTATGGGAGTGTCATGGTAGGGAAGTGAAATGTTCCATAAAACTAAAGGTTTTGTTGAGAGTCGATGGGGTTTTTGGAAAATGATCAGATAATCAAGGCAGCAAGAATAGGTGGATGTCATTATAGGCAGGTGATGGATAAAGGCAATAGCCTTATTGGGTCATGGGGGTGAACATGAGGCATATATGTGTTCCCCGAATTTTTCCTGTCTGACTCCTGGACTCTTCTTTGGTGCCTGGTTGCCATGCTGAGACACTTTCCTCTTCCTGGCCTTTTCTGCTCTTTCTGACTTCCTGCAGGTCTAAAGTGAGAAAAGGTAGGCCATGGACTGCAACCTGTGGATTGTGAACCAAAATAAGCTTTTTGTCTTTCAAATTGTTTATGTCAGGTTCTCACACAACTAGTGACATTTTAAAATCTAAGGAAATTTTATGCAATTTGTACTTGTGAAAAATAATAGCATTTTATTTTTTAACTTGAATTAGAAATATTATTACAGATATTTAATAGAGTGACACTCTATTTATATTTAGATTAATCTATCTTTTATTCATGTTAGCATTAAATTGTGTTTATACCTTTGAAAATGACTGTATGCATGTTTTTCAATGAATTCTAGTTTTATGCAGCTCACTCAGTTTTCTCATATAAGACATAACTATCACATGTAATTCTTGTTGATTTATGTTTTCATCAGTAAAATATTCTATAAATATGCAGAAATTTTTGCAAATCTTTCTAACATACTACCCAATATCTTATTTTTTCATTTTGTTTTGACCTTTTTGTTAATTCATTTAGCAATAAAATATTCTCTCATTTGGATGAATGCATAAACCTGTTAGAAGTTTTTATAATAGGGTTAGTTCTTCTTTAGTTCATCCATGTGTATACAGATCTGGGTTTGGGTTACTACTGAGGGCAGTAAATCGGTGTCACTGGAAACATTTAAATCAGAGCTAAACAACCAGGCCATTGGGATTTTATATGTAGAAGTAAATGAGGATTTTGTTCAGGGAGATTCTCAAAGATCCTTCTCCTGCCCACAGTTCTGGTGAATGTGATGGCTGTGTGGCTTCTCCAGGTGTCCATGCACTGTAGAAGAAGAGCTGAGCTTCCTAGGAATGCTGCGTTCCGCTTCTCCAAAGACCCCACTGTTCTGCTGTCATTCATCATATGCTATCAGGTGTTGGTTGGAGCTGGTTGGGCATTTATCCAGGTATTGGTGAGTAAGAGTGGTTTTGAGTGCTCCTTCTACTTGTGTAAAACATATAAACATAAATGTAGATCATGTAAACAATTAATTATCATATGTCAGGAGAGAGAAGAAAATGAATGACTCAGAGATCTCAAAGTGTAATACATTTTATGCACCAGTAGAAGATGTAAAACGTTCATTGCAGAGGGGCAGAAATATAAGAATAGGGAATGAAAAAGTAATTTTTAAAAGACCAAGGATAACTCAGCATTTATTATATTGTATAATTCATCTAGTTATTTAAATGCATTACATAAATTCATTCTCTCAGCAACTCTGAAAAGCCGCTATGCATCATTAACTCTTTCTTACATCTGAAAACAACACTGGATATGTAGTAAGTTCCATGAAGTCAACAGCCATTGAGTAGCAGACCTGGGTCTGACTTACAGGGTCCATTTCACTTTGTTGCCTTCTGCATATATTTGATTTGGTAAAAGGAAATTCAAATTTCATGCAATTTTCTTTTTCCCATTCTGTCTGTTATGGCCAGGGAAATAGCCTTTTAGTTTCTCTGATCTTTGAAGGCTTGGAAGTGAACAATGTAGATATTTCTTAGGTAATTCTGTTGCATAACTGAGCAGCTATAGCTCAACTCAGTCCACAATTAAGAGTCATGGATCCACTAGGGAGGGAAAGAGAAAGCACTGTACAACTCAGGGGTTACACAGCAGGAGCATATGTGTGTGTCTTTTCATTGGTTGGATGAATATGTACTGAATTGCACGAGTGAGTGTAATCAGTGTAAACAAACAAAGTCAAACCCAGACAAAACAAAACGCAAGGAAACAGCATCTGCTCCCTAAACTTCCAGAGAGAAAAGGTGCATCTGCCTAAATTGGTTTATTGCTTGTTTTTTTCTTAGGGTTGCAGCCATTTGTCAAAGATATTCCCCTAAATCCAGGGATTTAAAAGTGGTGAAAGTCTTGTATCTTGGTTTGAATTTCCACATAGAATATAATCAATCACAGCAAAGAATGGGATCCCAGTAATACAAAACTTATCCCAGGAGTTTATTAAATACTTATATTAGCTACTGTTCAGTTCTTTCTCCTGCTGTGAATGTGCAGATCATTTCATACATTAGGGCAATCAGGAAACAGAATGAAGATAATTGCAGGGGGAAAATTATTGGAAGAATTTATTTCTGATAAAGAAATTATATCCATAATACACAAAGAAATTTAAAAACTCAATAATAAGAAAAGAAATCATGAAATCAAAATCCATTCTTTTTTTTTTTTTGGTACTGTGATTAAACTCATGCCTGCATGCTTGCAAGGGCAGGCACTTATGCCATTGAGGTAAGTCCTAGGCCCGAAACCATGCAATCAAGAACAGGTTTGAGATATGTGGTGAAGGAGGTGTATGAGCACCAAGTAGATGCATTAAAGTTTCAGATGAACGTATACTCATAACTTCAAAGATATTCAATGCTTATCTCATGGCACTGATGCATTGCAGATTATCTCTAACCTCCTGGGAAAAACGATTTCATTTCCACAGTACATCACTCACTAAGGCCCTGCGATGAAATCCAAAGTCAGGGTTTGAGTAAGAGAAAAAAGAAAAAAACCTTAATATTTGCAGTTTTGTGTAGCTAATGTTCTTCCTGGCTGACATCTGAAGAAACGGCAGAATGTTGAGAAAGTGTGTAGGAACAATTGTGTGTAACAGAGTTATTTAACGGGGCCAGCAAAATATTTTTTTGGTGGAAATAAAAACATAAGAAAGCATTGCAGGTTTCTGTGGCTTGAGTTTTCAAGTCTATACGGAAGGAATAGGAGAGCCAGAGCATGTTTGACAGTGACAGAGAAATAGCATGCAGCTACTGACAAGCAAAAGAAAAACACACACACACATGATTTTCAGTTTGCAGTTGCCAGCGATGGATGAAGTGAGTGTTAAATGTCCATGAATCAAGGGATAAATTGCTGGTAAAAGGAACAGGAGAATGATGCACAGCTCAGGATTCTCTTTGAATCCCTCAGTCTGAATACAGTAACTTCCCTGATACTCTTTATGGTGAAATCTCAGAGAACAAAATGGAAGATAGCCAAAACTTACAGTTTATCCTTTTATCAAATTGTGATGACCACCGTGATCGTCAAGGGTATGAACAATGTCCATGTGTATTTGTGTGTGTACAGTGTGTGTGTGTGTGTGTGTGTGTGTGTGTGTGTGCGCAGGGTGTGTGTACATGTGTGTATTCTAGCACATGGATTTTATGAAATTCCTTTCCTCTTCATAAAATAGAATGAACCAAATGTTGAACGTGGCAAACATTTATCTTCTAGTGTTAGACTCCTGCTTGTCCTTCCTTCAGGTTATCTTCACCGTCAGGAGAAGGAACACACAGGCACAACTAGGAGACCCATGTCTACCTCTGCAAATGTAAGTTCAGTATTTTTTCTGCTTTGTGTTTGCCAGAAGACAGTTGGTGCTTACTTCCTATGCATGACTTTCTTTCCTTGTGACTGGGACAAAGCAGTTGACAGCAGAGAAGTGGTAAAGTTTGCTATGTTTCACAGTGTCAGTCCCTGGTGAGCTGGTTGCAAGCTAGAAACAGGGTAATGGAGGGCATCGTGGAAGAAAGGCTGCTCTCCTCATGAAGACCAGGAAGCAGGGGGAGAAGGGAGGAGCCAGAGAGAGACATCCATTCCCCCAGGTTCATGGGCCCAGTGGTCAGGCTCCTAGCTATAAGTATCTCTGTGATTTCCTCACATTCTAAAAGCCCAGCCTATAAGTGTAAGAGATGTTAAGAGGGTATTCCAGATCTCAACCATTATTATTCAAAGATTAACTAAAGTACAGGTTACATAGATGAAGTGACCATATTTGTGTGAATTTACTAGACTGTGTTAATTTGATACATGCATGTGGATAGCTATTAACTCAGCTGTGATAGCATATATATCAAAATACACCTTTATCATTCCTTTGCAGTATATAACTTGTAATCTCTTTCACTGTTTGATAAATGATATGGAATATGTGAAAAATAGTACTCAATTCCAATATTTGAACATTTTATTATTCTAATTTTATTGATTGAATTTATTTTTGTCTCTACTGCTAATTTTACTAGCTCCCTTTCTTAAATTCCGTGTGCTTCACAGTGCTAAAATACAATTCCATTTACTCTGAGGGTGTCACTTTACTTTTCACTTTTGTATTTTAGTTGGTTTTCTCTTATTCTTTCATATTGCATCAGTAAAGTGAGTTTTCCCCTTTAATAGGTGAATGCAATATGATTTTCTGAATTATTTTTAAAATATATATTAGGTAACATTATTATACATCTGAAATGTTAATTTCATATTCTACTCTGGCCTATTCCACTTCTCATCACTTCTCATTTTTATTCTCTGTGTCATTAATCTAGCGCATCCAGTATGTCCTATGATTCTGATACTATAACTTGTGATTCATCTTAAATTGAGAATTTCAGTTGAATTTTTTTCAGTTGTATTTCTAATAAGTCTATTTGTGCATTGACTTCTAGGAATTCTTAGTTTATTTTCCCTAATTCTCTTTTTCTACTGCAGCAGTGTATCATATGTTGCATAATGATTTCCTCTTGGAATCATTCAGTTCTCTATTGTATCTTATTTGACCTCATTAAATAATAAATTATTTGATTAATTCAGCTCCTTATTTGTATCATCTTTAATGTAATTGATTGTTTTCAGTATTCTGGTTTCAAATTCTTTGATATTTCAATTGTGATATCAGTAGAATTGGTTTTAGAGAACTGCAAATATTGGGAATCTGTTTTCTTGGCTTTCTGATGAATCTAGTGTGTGTGAGTTTATGTGTCTGTGAGAGACAGACAGAGAGAGAGACAGAGAGAGAGACAGAGAGACAGAGACAGAGACAGAGACAGAGAAAGAATGTGTGTGAGTGTAATATGTTGAAGTTTGAGGATCACTGGGGTTGGAGAGTGAAAGACCTATTGTGCATAAACCTTTTGAGGAAGTGCCTTATTCATTGTGATGTTTCTTAGGCTGTCAGGGTCCCAGCAGGAAACAATGCAGTCAACCCTTTGTTCTCCAATTTGGCACTAGATTGAGCTCTTAGCACTGTTTCTGAGGACAGAGTAACCACCAAGTATATCGGTATCTGAAAAATAATCCATAAATTCACGTGTAATTTAAAACTTCTTTGAAATATTCTCCAAGTGTTTCATTCCTCAGGAACTGACAGAGGAAGTAATAATTTGGGACCTACTAGGGGAGCAGTAGGCTTTAATGAGAATATTCTTGTATAACAGAAATGAGGGATGGAGTATGTGAGAGACTATGAAAAGAGAAGGAACAAACAAGGGAAGTGAATTTGAATGAAATGTGAGAAAAACATAATGAGATTATCCCAGTGAATGAGCAAGCAGGTGCATGTGTCTGACAGGCTGGCAGGCAGAGGAAAGGGGTCTGTAGGCAGACAAAGGCCTCTTCAGGCTTCCTGGCTAATCCTGACAGGAGCCAGGTAAAGCTTTATTGGAGGGAACATTAAGAGTAAGGCGGGGCTGAAATACAGAGCAGTAGTTAGAGTCAAACTTGGGCAGATGCAGAAACCAGGCAGCCTGCCACTGAGAGAGCTCACCTTACTCTGAAAGCCTTCTCTTGTCACCGTCAAATACATATGAGAATAAATAATGTAATCATGTTGTTCAACTACATGCACTCTTGTTAGTGTTTATCTAACAGCATCATCAGTCATTTGAATAAGAGTTATAGTTGATATAGTAAACACCATTCATGAATATGTGAGCATTTACCCTAGGTATAGGAAGTTATGAAAAGTACTCCGTATAATACTGGAAATACACTCGCATGCACACACACACACACATACACACACACACACACACACACACACACACACACACGTATCCACACAGAAAATGTGATACTTAGAATCCTGCAAGAGGATCAGCAATCCTACAAGTGGTACTTCAGATTAGGAAGTAATTGTGAACTTGAAAAAGAAACAACAAACCGCTAATGAGAAATAACATTAAGAAAAAGGAATGAACAGAAGTCTAGAGTAACTTCAGGACACTATGAAGTAATCTGAGAAAACTGAGCCATCAACAGTTAATACTGATTTCGCAATAAGAAACTGAAGAAGCCATTGGCTATGCAGTTCAAAGCATCCTGGGAAGGACAGCTCTAGAAGAGTCCTCAGTATGTGCACAGAAGGAATACTAAATGCAAAAATTTTAAATTCAGTGTGAAAACACTGCATAATAATAACTTTAAAGTACTAAAGAAAACTTATACTATTGCAATTATAACTTTCAGCCACATATAATAATAACATTTATGAGAAAATAAAGAATTGGGGAAAATTGATTTATATTATGCAAAGTTTCTCATGCAGGAGGTTGTTCAATAAGGGTTGACCTATATAGTCCATGTTTACTGTTTTCCATCACCTGAGTTCAATCTCCAACACCAAAAGAGAAGTTATTTCATATATCATTATGAATACATGAAATTATTTCATATATTAAAGTGACCTTAATATATCATGAATTTTAAAATAAAAGGTCATTACTGCATGAAAAAAGCAAATATATCAAGAATAAAGATATCACCAAATCTTCAAAAAACTTAAAATGGAAAGTAAAATATAGTTTCCTGTTAATGAGTTTGATGATGAAAAAGCAAAATTCTTTAAAGGTACATTAGAAAAAGAGAGATAATAAGAGTAATTGCCTACTTCATAAGTGCAGTAATTTTATGAGAATTATTCATAGGAATGAAATATTAGTAGTAGTTTTTCCTTTGTAAAGCAAATTCTCACCTACCCTTCCCACTGGAATGATGGACAACAGATTGCATGCACTCTCTTTTCATGTGAAAGATGCTAATAAGAGTATTTAAGAAGAAAAAGATAGGGCATCCTGGGCACTGAATTACTTGCCCAAAGCAGGCAAATTGAAAGTAACTTGAGCAATAGGATAAGTATGAAGCAGCAGGAAAATCAGTGACAGCCATCAACGCTGTTTTATGTCAGACGAGTCTATTTCTGAAAATTATATTGTGCTAGGAAAGCTGTTTGCTGGTGTGATTAGCCTGCCTGTAATCAGGCACCATCTGATAAGTGTTCTCTCCACTGACCTCTGTTTTAGTAAATGTAACGGCAGTATTACTTTCTACTCATTAATTATTCGGATGCAAAAACGTGTTCATAATTTGTTGCACAGCATTGTAGTTTTTTAAAAAATCATATTGTATTTCATAGCACATTGACCTTACAGCAAGAGAGACAGCATGATATCTTCAATTATTTCAGAAATAATTTCCATTTTGTGATATGTGTAGTGATATAAGAAATGAGTGGGCAAAAGGAAATAGTTCAGATGTTCCTTCTAGCCAGTAGATTGTATTATGCTTACTTTCTAACATGATATAAATGCTTTGTACCCTGTGTAATAAAGGACATAACATATACCTAATTTATTTAGAATTATAAAGTTTCCTGAATTTATATATTATTTGCAATATCAGATTCTATTGATGTGTTTCATACCCAAAACCAACAGCAAACTTCCAAACTCATACACATACATAAAAATGAATGTAAGAGTGCTGGGGTGTAGCTCAGGGGCACAAGTGCCTGCCTGTCAAGTGTGAGCTCTTGAGTTTGATTTCCAGTACCAAAAAAAAAAAATCATGTAAGGAAGAAATCACATGTAGTAAACATAACTGAAAAAAGACAACAGCATGTAAATGTATGAAACTGAAGACTTTTATGTTTTGAGAGATGAGCCCGAACATTTTAAATAATACATACATACATATTAAATTATTAATTAAATTGCAAAGAAAAACAACTAGAAATATGTACAAAGATAGCATTCATAAAATGTAGATACAAACAAATAATAAATGATAATTTTCTATAACATTCATGTAGAACAGTGTGTGATTTTGTCACTAACTCAGAAATATGAGCAATACAATAGAATGTAAAATATACAAATGAATTCATCAAAAGTTTTGAATTAGTAAAAGACTGATAAACGTCAGTCCAAATAGAGTTTTTGTATTTTACTTTGGATATGCAAAGTACAAATATAAAGTGTATTCAATATTAAGACATACTAGCTTCCTAAACTTAACAGTTTAATTTAATTTAATATTTAACTAATATTTAACTAATTTAATATTTAACTTTATTTAGAATGCAAAGTGGATAACTTCTTATCTTTTTTAAAACTTTGTAGGTTTTGTGTTTATACATTAACAAAACAGTGCTATTGCCCTACACGTTTGACATCAATCTTCTGCCATATTCTGTCATTCCAAAGTGTGGGTGAGGTGATCACTCAAAGCGAGAGACCTGCTCCTGTCCACACTCTGGCAGGAGCTCATATGCAGATCTCA